AAACAGCTAAAACCTTCATGCACCTCTGGTCCATGAGGAAGCAGCTAAAACATTCTTGCACCTCTGCTCCATGAGGAAACAGCTAAAACCTTCCTGCACCTCTGGTCCATGAGGAAACAGGTAAAACCTTCCTGCACCTCTGGTCCATGAGGAAACAGCTAAAACATTCCTGCACCTCTGGTCCATGAGGAAACAGCTAAAACCTTCATGCACCTCTGGTCCACGCGGAGGCAGGGAGAGGGTTGGGGGGGGGGGTGCACCTGTAGCATGGCCTGCTCTCTACTCGAACACGGATCAGAAGCTGGACGAATAGATTATGGTGATGATGAGGAGGATGACGATGATGGGGAGGAAGAGGAGGAGGAAGATGTTGATGAAGATGATGATATGGGACCCACCTGTCACGGAGGCACGCGGCAGGATGTACAGAGCAGAGACCTTCACCACTGCTCGGAGTCCATCTTGTTCCAGATGCTGCTGCTGCGTTCACAGCCAGTTCCGTGCTGCCTTCACTTGCTGTGGGAACTCTCGTAGCTGCAGTTGATTTGGCAGCTCCTCGCAGCTGCTGATGTTCTGAACCATGCAGTAATCTGCAGCTGACACCCCACAAAGTTGAGTGGGTTCATGTTGCATTCAGGGACACACGATGCTGCTGAAAACAGCGTTGACTTTACAAAGATTTCTCTTTAACTTCTGATTTTTTTTACTGGATGTTTTCTGAAGACTCCTCTGCAGCAGTGTGGAGTAGTTAGAATAAATCTGGCACTAATCTGACTGAACTGAGGTCTGCTTTTAATCTGTCAGTTCTGTCCGAGGTGAACAACTAAATTATTTAACCTTTTATTCTCCAAGGGTCTAAAAACAGAACATTTTATAATAAATCACGGCGAGTGCTTGATTTATTGTGTGATCGGTCTAAATCATTTGTTCAGTTTTACAACAGCACTTCTTTACTAATGAAACATTGTAGAAATTAAAAATGTGTAGTTTTATTTGTATCCAGCAGGTGGCGCTGCGTTTAAACCCTGAACCATTTTCCAAACGAGATGCAAAACTTCACCTCTGTCCACATCTGTCCATCCATCAGCAGATGCAGCTGATGAACATCTACTGTGTGTTACAGCTCTGAAATGTGAGTGAAGTTGGATTCCCGGGACACTTTATTTGACTGTACAGAACAAAATGTCCACATCAGCAGCAGGATTATTTAAATATTATGCGCTGATGGAAACACTCTTGTGTTTTCCAGGTGGACTTCTCTGCAGAGAGTTTGCTAAGAGGAACAGAAAACATTTTGAGCATGATCTGCTCTGCAGCGTGAGGCAGACAGGTCCTGATGATTGGACAAAGTGAAGCACTGAAGGAGGACACGATGGTCTCCACACAGTCCTGGCAGCACCTTAATGTTGGCAAACAGACAATAACAGAGGAACTGATGTATAGATGAAGATTGTTTTGCTTTTCTCTTTTATTTATTTGTTGTTGTTATATGTGTTGCTTCTTCTTCTTCTGCTTCTTTTGGCTTTTCCCTCTTCAGGGGTCACCACAGCGAGTCATCCTCCTCCATCTCTGTCCTCACTCCGTCTGTCTCCATGTTCTCTCTAACTGCATCCATAGATCTCCTCTTTGTCTTTTTCCTGGCATCATCATCACTTTTATTGTCTCCTTAGTGAAGTTTTCCTCGCACCAAGGAGAGAAAATCAAAACACAACACATAAACAACCACACCATGAAATTAGCAAATAGTAAAAAAAAAAATCCATGTACAAATATCAATAAAACAGGCTGAATGACAAAATCAAACCTGATTACATTTAAAATTTATCTGAATAATGGTCTGACTGGTAAAACAAAAGTTTTTCCATCTATTTGTTCTCGATTTTGGGCCTGAGTCTCTTCTCAGATAGAAGGAGCTCAAATCTGCCACGGTGAGAGTGATTTGGAGAGTGGATCATATGTTCTGCTTTTTATAGTGTTCTCTTTAAAAAAAGTGTTTTTTAAATCTGGTCATCTAACTTCTATAATTTTGCCTCTTACTTTTACTATTTGCTTGATCCTGTTCTTGTCTCCTGTTGACAGACTGCTAGCTGCCTTTCTAACATCCTTCTACTAATATACTCACTGTCCCTCCTCTGGACATGTCCAAACCATCTCAGGCTGGTCTCTCTAACTTTATCTCCCAGTTGTTCAACCAGTGCTATACTATTACAGTTATTCTTTTACATTTTATTGTTGGATGTAACTGGGACCCTGTACATAATCTCGTTCCACCACATGTACCACACGTGGTGCGAATGACAAATAAATCTCTCTGACTCTAACAAATCAGCTGACAAATACGTACATGTTGGAATGAATTGGAACAAAGTTAATGAAGATTAAAAACAGTTCACGACATAGTAACTTTAGAGAAGCTTGATGATAACTATTCATGTTCTTCCTCTGAGCAACATGTCAAAATTATGCCATGTCTCTATTATAATTATTTCTTAAATGTTTTAGGCTGATGTACAATTTTATAATAGGCAGAAGAGGTGGACAAACTGTTATTTGTGTTGTTTCATAGATGAGGACATGGACAAAGACTTCAGCTACTTTTAATAACTTCTGGACACATGTCCCATCCATAAACAAGATGGACTCTAAATCAAACATTAACCTTCTGTCAGGAAACTTACAGTTCAGTAGTACAATTAAAACATCTGGAAATCAAATACATTAAAATTCATATTAAACTACACACCGTGTAATTTATTCTTTTTTTTTTTTACTCAAGCTTATCACAATAATCTTATATTTTGTTTTAACATTATTCGTGATATTTGTTTATTTAAGTTTTAAAACATTTGGTTGGATTTTTCTAAACGTTCATAGGATTTCGAGGCAAATCACTTTACAAGATGGCGTCCAAAATCTCGCCTAGCGCCTTCTGTGGCCGGTGAAGTAAACTGTCCGTCCGAGCTACCGTAGCCTGTGTTGAGTAGCTAAGCTAGTCATGTTTTTAGCGGAAGCTGTGCTCGTTTTTCTCTTTATATGTTTATTTCTCATGTTTCGGTTCTTTATTGTTATAAAGTCTGGACGGAACCACAGACCCGGAACCAGAGGCCCGGTTTCGGTTCTTGTCGTTGCGGGATCAGGTAAAGTTGACGTCATCATAGTTAACTTGACGAATAAGTGACCAAATAAATGAATAAAGCTAAATTAATCACGCGATTGCACAAATATTGTCCGTGAATTGTGTGAAGACAAATAAAATATTTTACAAGCAGTCTGAACCCTACAGCTTTCAAATTATATTTGTGTCTAATAATTTGTAATTTCTCACCTCCTTTCATATTTATACCTGTTTTAACTAAACTTTATTTAGTTTACCTATAAAACATCAGTCTGCTCTCAGTAAGCCGTTGATACAAATATTAGATCTATTTTCACATATACAGATTTAAAATAAAACAACAAAAACAACAATTATCTATCCATACAGGCAACAGGGGCGCCTCTAGAAATGCATTAATGGGGTGGCCATGTTTTTTTTTTGTTTTTTTTGGGGGGGTGTCACTGAAAATAAAAGCCAGAACATAATTTCATAAATTTGCTTGTTGTTGTGTACATTTGTACACAAAAATGTTGAGACAAATAAAAACGTTTATATTAATAAAACGTATAAAAGCTGAATCAAACCGTCTGAGACCCGGAAAGACTCAATGTTGTGGACATCAGTTTTAGACCGGTTGTATTTAAGAGGACTAGATTTTAAGTTTTTAATTTTAAATAGAATATTTCTTCATATTTTAACATTTAATTAATCAAAAGCAATGTTTGTTTATACGTTGATGTTCTACTTATCAAAGTTTGGCACTCAAGGATACAACTTGTGTGCACTGCCCCCCCCCCCCCCCTTAGTGGCACTCCTGAGACAGATATATGTGGATGGACTAGTTGTTAAATCTGCACGTCTGTAACAAACAAATAATGTGAAAAGCAATAATTTTTTGTTTATTTTACAAAGCTCTGCCAAAAAGCCACAGCGCAGTGGTGCAGTGGTTAGAGCTGCCCCCTCACAACAAGAAGGCCGCAGGTTCAACATCCGCCTGAAGATGTTTACGTTTTCTCTCACAGACCCAAATCATGAGTGTTAAATTGTTCGTTAGCTTTAAATTGTCAGTGTTTTATCACTATTTGTTTTTATTTGGATGAGAGTTTTAAAAATGGAGCCGGTTTGATTCATTTTCTTTGCCGTTAATAATAAAATTTTATTTATTTGCGTTAGTCAGAAATTGAAAACTGGATTTCTTCCCTTCTGATGAGAGTCAAACTGTTTGTTTGTTCCAGGCGGTCACACGTCGGAGGTCCTGCGGCTGATGGAGCACCTGTCTGCGGCGTACACGCCTCGCCATTACGTCATCGCTGACACGGACAGGATGAGCGAGGAGAAGATCTGCACGTTTGAAAGCTCCAGAGCTGCGTCAGACTCTGAGACTCACGTATGTTGCTGCTTGTCTGATTGGACCATCGGCACCACCAACATCTGCTGAAACGGGCCCGTTAAAGGGGGGGTTCAGTATGTCATGAACAATAAATATCTTACCTGTCAGAGTACGGTCCGTCACAAGAGTCTGTTTACAATTTAATGCTGAGTTTTGTAAGACGTGTCAGAACTTCAGCACCATCCTACAGTCAGACACAGACCGGTTCTTTTGGACCATCCAGGGTCCAGGCTCAGAACCATTAGAGACAGGTGAGGACCACAGACCAGTTCTTTTGGACCATCCAGGGTCCAGGCTTAGAACCAGAAGAGACAGGACAGTTTTGCTGAAGAAACTTTGTAAATGAGAGCAGGGTCCTGGACAACAAAGCAACAAATTTCAGGATCTCTGGTGTCGTGACGCTGGCTGACGTTTACCTGGGTCTGTTACCATGGCAACACATGCTGGAAACCTAACCAGCTCTGCAGCAGGTGGACTACATGTGTCATCACAACTCCTGTCAATCAATTAGTGTCCCTAAAACTTATACGTAAAATGTCACGTGTGCAAACAAATACTAAATAAATTAGTTTTTGTAGTGATGAGCAAATGAAGCTCTTTGGCGCCATCTTGTGGCTGAAGGTCTAAAGGGGACCTCTTCATTGTTGGTGTTCAACTCACGCAGCTGCCGGTTCAAATCCTGGCACGTTTCTGTCTTTCAGTTGTCACTGCGGCGCTTTGAACATGTACTGTTCACTCGCTGCTGCTTTGGTATCACCACCAGAACACACCGAGTCAGCTGATGGTTCCTCGTGGACTTTGAATCAGGCACCAAAGCTGTGACGTTGAAGCTCTGGACGTCCTTGATCACGTGACTTTATCCAAACAAATGAAGCTCAGAGCTTCAGAAACTCACTTGCCCCGGAGCTTCAGGCTCTAAGAACTGAACCCAGCAGGGTTGCTGGTTTGAAACTGTTCCCAACACACTGAAGATCCCCAAACATCACCTGAAGTCAACAGCTCTGTTCCAGCTCAGCCACATTTCACACGTCTGAAGGTCTCAGAGCACAGATGGAATCATGAAGCATTCACTCCACTGTCATCCATTTTTCTTCTGTACGTTTTTCAGCATCTTTCTCGTCCCGCAGTTTTCAAACTATTTCAACAAATCATCAGTCAAAACGTTCAGCTCTTTCAGGACAAACCTGCTCTGACTTTAGGAAGTAGTGCAACTTTAGCTTTTTGAAACATTTAGCCTTTTTTGACATTTTTCTCTCACAGAAAATGAATTGAGCTCATTTTACATCCTTCATATCTTTAGATGTGTTTACAAACTTTTACTGCTCCGGTCACATTCTGCTTCAGCTTCTTTCAGCTTCCTGTTGCAAATTTTTTTTAAAAATCAGCTAATTTTAGCTGTTTTTCCAGCTGTTTTGTGATCCTTTCAGCTTCTTTCTGCCAACTACAACATTTTCGTGCTTCTTCTAACTTCTTTCTGATCATTTCAGCTTCTTATGCGCCTTTCAGCCTTTTCTGCTAATTCAGCTATTATTTAGCTGTTTTTATGCTTATTTTACCTTTTTCAGATAATTCCACGTTTTTTGCACACATTTCAACTTTTTTCAGTTTAATTTGGTGAAAATGTGCTCGCTCCACTTCCTTCTGGTAGTTTGAGCTTCTTTCTGCCGTTTCAGCTTTTTTTTTGTTTGTTGCTAAATTCAGCTTTAGCTAATTTCCTAATTTTTGTGCTCATTTCTGCTTATTTAAACCTAATTCAGCTAATATGTGTTCTTTTTGATAATTTAGGCTTGTTCTTCAGTAATAAGCATTCACGCTGCATTTTTGCAGGGAATGTAATTTCTGTAGTTATTTTTAATATCTATAGTTTTTACTTTAAAATATTTTCACATTGAACTATCTGCTGAATCAAATATTTTTTGTTCAAGTTTCCAGATTTCCACCTTCTAATCTTCAAACAGCAGACGATTTGTTGTTGTGTTTTTAAGACGTGCCGACCCCTTAAACGATACAGAAACTAGATGTCGACTTTATTTAGGAACGAGCGCGGAGGTGAAGCGTAGCCTCTGCTGTCAGCCTGACGGAGCAGCCTCTGTGCCACAGTCGAACGTTTGCTTTTATGAACGTTAAATCTGAAAACACTTTTCTCTGGTTCTGTTCAGTTCACCATCTGTCGGATCCCCCGGAGCAGAGAGGTGCACCAGTCCTGGAGCTCCACGGTCATCAGCACCCTGAACGCCCTCCGCTTCTCCCTCCCCTTGGTCTTCAGACTCCAGCCGGACATGGTCAGAGCCAGAACCAGACAGTCCTGTTCACATCTGTCTAAATGAGCATCTGTTCTGTCAGTTTCTGCAGCGTTTTATCTGCTTCAGTGTTTTAGTCCTGCACACACGTGTTCACACATGTTTTAGACCTGCACACACGTGTTCACACATGTTTTAGTGAATGCTCAGTGTTTATGTTAAAGGGATGAAGTTTAGATGTTCCAGCAGCTTCCAGGTTTGTCTCGTTATAACGTTAATATTTGGTTCATTAGTTCAACCTGGGGAGTTTTAAACTGCGTCACATGTTCATGACATCACAGAGTCCCCAGCAACTCGGGGGGGGAAACTCCAGAAATGAACTAAAACATGAAAACTCAGGGAGAACTTGATGAATCTGAACACTGATCTGCTGAGATTTGAACGTGTACTGATGCTAGTTTTCTAGTACCATGTTCTGCTGCAGTGTACACAGTATACGTGTACTGATGTACTGCGGTGGCGTTTAGTTTCTGATCTTATACGATTTAATTACTAGGAGCGTCGTCTCTGAGTGTGACTGCTGCCACGTGAGACACGAAGTTCTGATCGTTTCGTGGCTGAAGTGTCTTCTGGGATTTCAAAGATAATTCAAAGAAAACTCCTGGAAATGAGTTTTCATTTCCTGCTGGGAACCCTGCTGATGGGAAGGGAACCGTTTGCCCCGCCAGAACAAAAGTCCACTTGCTTTGTCTTTTTGTCCCCACCCTCTGTGCACGTTGTGAGCATGATAACTTGACGGACAAACTTCTGTTGTAGTTTGTGGCTGCGCTGCATGAAGACGTAATAAATGTTCCTTAGGAAAACTGGGTTGCCAGGTCAAATACCAAGATGGCTGCCTCCGTATGAATATTAATGTAAACCAGCCACTCCTGTCGTTTGAGGAAACTCTGCCTTCTAGTTTTTATATTGCGTCAAAGTTTAGTTTCCTCAAATGACTGGGGTGGCCCAAGATTAATCTATGCTGGTCAAGGCCACCATTGACCACCCCCTGGCTCTGCCACTGCACCTGGTGGTGGATAAAAAGTCTCCCTCCTCTCTCCAGGCCGTTTGGACCATGAGAGTCCCAGAAGGCTGATCAGGCAGATTAAAACAGATTAGGAGGTTTGAGGGGACACTGATGATGCCTCTTCATCTGTAAATGTCCAGTTCCCTCCATCGAGTATTAAACCATCTGCAGTTATTTTCACTCCAGGATCCGTCACTGCGAAAGAAAACCTCCCTCTGTTCTTCTCCACAGTGTAACACCCCCACCGCCCCCCACCCCACATGTCTCCTGCACCAAAAACATGAAGGCTTACTTTAGTTCCAGTCCAGAAAAACACCCGTCTCCAAAACTACAACCATTCAGTATTCAGCTCCCACAGAGATCAGAGTACTACTTGTGATCTTGTTGTCGTGTCCTGAGTGACTGAACGCATCAGCGTTGACCTCGTTGGTCCGGCCCTCCTCAACAGTCCCAGGACTCGTGGCCTGCCCCCGTGTTCGGTCCCAGAGCAGCAGTTAACATCAGACATGATAGAGCTGCTCTGTCAGAGCTGTGTGATGACTTCTCCAGGCTGCAGAGCACCTCTGGCTGCTTCCCTGTGAACCCACAAGTCCCGCAGCCGGCGAATCTGCCCCCCCCCCCAGACCGGAAGCGC